TGGCCGTACAGTAAGTGGTATTAATAATTTGCCTTTCTTCCACCTGTAAACCCATGGAACAAGCTTTTTCCTGCAAATTTTGCCGAGTACGGGTAGAATTATTGGTAACATATAACAAGTCTTATCTTGATTTTGAAACCAATTAAAAGTTTCTACAGAACCTTCGATAGGATCATCATTAAGCCATAGAACACCTGCAGTTATATAAAATCATTATAAATCTATTTAATTTATCAAAAAAAAACTTGCCATCTGCATCTGTTATTATTGCTTCCAAGCTTTTAAAGAACTGCTGCACTTCTTTTCTGTCCAGACATCTTAAGTCTGTAAAACTATGCTTGAATTTTTGATAACACTTTATGCTACAACAACGTTTTGCAGAATTTGTAAATATTTGCCAAAAGTGTCTTGTTTTCTTTAAAGAAAACATTTATTTTTTATATCTTTCCTTTTTAATTTCTAATTTCTATTAATAAAATAACTGACAATTAGTTACTAATTGAAACTTCAAAAATTAACTTGTTTACAACAGCAAGCTGTACTTCTCAAACCATAAAGGAGAGTAGTGTTTACAAAAGCAAGCAGTGCTTCTCAAACCATTAAGGAAAATAGAAAAAAAACTTGCTCTATTTATGAAAAGCATGAAAAGATTTGCCAAGACTAAAGAATAATATATAAATTCTCTTAATAATCATAATCATAATCATGACAATAATTAAGAAGTCACGCCTCCTTAAGACGGTGACAAAATTTCCTAAAGAAAAGAACAAAGACACAATTTCAAGAATTTCAGACTCCCTGTTGGAGACTAAATTTCCTGAAGAAATATATGGCTAGATTTCCTTAAACAAAACCTTGGCAACTCTAAAACATATTTTAATTTTAAGTCTCTTTATTTTTAAATTTTTTTCTGTAATTAAATTCTCTTTTTTAATACAAGAGAAATGTGCAGAAAAAAGCTTTATGTCAACAGCTTGTTCAGTAATTTTAAACAAGAACTAACACTCTACTTTACTCACACGCCGAACTTGACAAATTTTTTTCGAAATTGTAAAAATCTTTGTAATTGTTTTTTAATGGAAGTTTTAAAAAGTTAGATAAATGTCACAACAGTTGATAACAAGTCTTAAAATTAAGTTCAAAAGAAAACTGAATTCACATATGAGGCAGTAAATCGCCCAGTTTAGGTAAGTACATATCTGGTATAAGTTTAAGCAATTCGGGATCATTGGACTTTTTCCAGGCTTGCACATCGTTTAGTTGATGTATGCCCGTACCCACCAGCAAAGTTTGGAAAGCCACAATTATAGCCCAATAGAATGTCAGTATCGCATCTAGAAAAATGATATGTAGATAATAATTTGTTGTTCGGTAGTTGTGAAAACTAAAACACTTACCTGTCACCTATCATTAAAGTTCTTTCCGGTTTAATGGTGCCATCTTTGATAAGATGTCACATATCTCTTTATTGGGTTTACCTATAACTAAAGCATTTCGCTCCACACATGTTCAATGGCTCTAACAAAACTTCCAGTTCCCGGTACCACCATATGAGGCATGGGAAAACTTTCATCTGTGTTTGTGGCGATAAACAAGCAATCCGGATCATTTAAATATGTGACAGCTTGTGTCAGTTTTGGAAAACTAATATGTTCATCAAATCCCACCATTACAGCACCCACTTTTTCATCCAATTTCAAATGTTTAGAAATATATTCCTCCAATGAACCGGGCATGCATTCAGCACCCACCTTATTATGTTTCTATACCCACAGCATCGAGTTCTTTTGTTATACCCTCTGTACCTATGACGAATACTTTTTTATCAAAGTTAAGACCCTTTAAATAGGCCGCACCTGAATGTGCTGTTGAGATGATTTCTTCCTCTGTGATATTAAAACCCATATCGACTGCTTTCACCAGTAGTTCCTTGCGTGTTTTGGTGCAATTGTTGGTGCAAAAGAAAAGTTTCTTGCCCATTTGTTTTAAGCTGTTTATAGCCTCCACAGAGCCATCGATGACACTGCCATAAACCCAAAGAACGCCTGGTAAGTAAACAAAGATAATCTAATCTTCAAGCCGGAGGATATGAATTTCTTAAGCCAACTTTGTCTTCAGTATTGTGTGTCCTCAATGCAAAGACAAAATTTCCAAAACAAATTGTTTAAAATACTTTGTTATCTCTTTCAACTTACCATCACAATCTGTTAAAATAGTATCGTAGGAATCCAACCACTCTTTAAAGGTATTTTTGTCCAGATCTTTAAATTTTTTGGTTGAATCATGTTATTAACTAAACAAATTTGTTAGAAAAATTAAAAACATACATACATATTTAAATCAATAATATGATTTGAATGGATGGATTTCTAATGTGTTAAATAAATTCTAATTATACAAACCTCTTCAGCATAACTTTTACCCGTCCGTTCTTGATCTTTACTCTCAAACTACAAAACAATTACATATTTATGTTGTTATTAAACAATGTGGAGAATGTTTATTTAAATAAGCATAATTCTTATCAAAAGTTTTTAATATTTGGGTATCTTTCTCTTTTTCTATAAATTATAAAATTACTCAATTAAAATGGTTTAAATCTCTCGAGTTTTTGTAGATGAAAATCTGGTAGGTATTTGTTTTTTGTAATTCACAATTAGGTATCTGATGTTTGGCCATTGTTGGACGTCTTCTAAAATATCTACGCCGGAGGAGACAAATAGTGTATAGAAATCACAATTGTAACCAAACAAGTCCGTGGAAACTCTAAATTAAAAAAATGTTTTAGAAATTTGTTAAAATTTTCATATTTTGTTACAAAATTTTTCACCTGTCGCCTAGCATTAATGTGTAGGCGGGTTTTATACAACCTTCTGTTATTAATGATTTTATAAATTCCGGATTAGGTTTTCCTATTATCGTTGCTAAACGATTGCTACATGTTTCTATGGCTTTTACCATGCAACCTATACTCGCAGCATTATAGAAGTTCGAGTGCGGGTACAATTATTGGTGACAATATAACAATTTTTATCTTGATTTGAAACAAATGAAAAGTTCCTACATCTATTTCTAAATCTATAGGATTTTTTAATACTTTCCAAAAGAGTATTGTTTTCTTCAAAGAAAACATTAATATTTTTTAAAATTTTTTAACTTTAATTTAATTAATAAAAATAACTGACAACTGAAATAACTTGTTTACAAAAAAACAAGCAGTACTTCTCAAACCATAAGGGAAAGAATGTTTATAAAAACAAGCAGTGATCATCAAACATTATGGGAAATATGCTCTCTTTTTGATAAAAAGAATAAAATGAGTTACCAAGGCTAAAGAAATAACGAAGCACAAAACTTAAATTCTTTACAAATTCATTCTGGGACTAGATTTTAGACAAATTCTGTAAATAATCAAGTCATAAGACCTTTGAAAAGAAAATTGTCTAAAGAAATAGAGTTTTAGCTGGTTGAAGACGAAATTTCCTTGAGAAAAAAAATTTTGAAAGAATTTAAACAAAGCTTTGGCAACTCTAAAATAAACACATGTTTTCAATATTTACTCTCTTTTCTTTTTACACATATTTTTCTGTATCTAAAATTCTCTTTTTTCTAACAAGAAAATTGTGCAGAAAAAAAAAGCTTTATGTCAACAGCTGACTCAGTATTTTTAACAAGAATTAACACCCTACTTTCCTCACACACAGACTTTAACATATTTTTTTATCGATATTGTAAAAATCTTTACAATCTATAATTTATTTTATCATTTCCGATTTTTTGTTCTAACAACATAAAATTATACATTAACAAAAAAGCATCATTTTTGGCTAGATTATGGTTATGGGGAGCGTTATGTATGAAAAAGTTATTTATGTTTTAAATGTATTGTTTATAAAAAAAATAATTAGATATAATGTCACGATAGATAGTGACAAGTCTTAAATTAAGTTAAGAAGTAAATAAAATTCACATATGAGGCAGTAAATCACCCAGTTTAGGTAAATACACATCTGGTATAAGTTTAAGCAATTCGGGATCATTGGACTTTTTCCAGGTATCCACATCGTTTAGTTGATGTATGCCCGTACCCACCAGCAAAGTTTGGAAGCCACAATTATAGCCCAATAGGATATCAGTATTGCATCTAGGAAAACGTTTAATTAGTTTTTTGTTTGACAATTGTGGAAACTAAAACACTCACCTGTCACCTATCATTAATGTTCTTTCGGGCTTAATGGTGCCATCTTTGATAAGATGTTCGCATATCTCTTTATTGGGTTTACCTATAACCAAAGCCTTTCGTTCCGCACATGTCTCAATGGCCCTAACAAAACTTCCCGTTCCCGGTATCACCATATTAGGCATGGGAAAACGTTCATCTGTGTTTGTGGCGATAAACAAACACTCTGGATCATTTAAATATGAGGCAGCTTGTGTCATTTTAGGAAAACTGAAATGCTCATCAAAACCCACCATCACAGCACCCACATTTTCATCTAATTTCAAATGTTTAGAAATGTATTCCGCCAAAGAGCCAGGCATGGGTTCAGCACCCACCTTATTGTGTTCTATACCCACAGCATCGAGTTCTTTTGTTATACCCTCTGAACCTATGACAAATACTTTTTTGTCAAAATTAAGACCCTTTAAATAGGCAGCTCCCGAGTGAGCTGTGGAGATAATTTCATCTTCTGTGATATTAAAACCCATATCTACGGCCTTCACCAGTAATTCGTTGCGTGTCTTGGTAGAATTGTTGGTGCAAAAGAAGATTTTTTTGCCCAATTCTTTAAAGCGATTCATACCTCCACAGAACCATCAATGACACTGCCATAAACCCAAAGAACACCTGAAAAGTAAACGAAAAATAAGATTAGCTAGATTCAATATTCTCTCTGCTGGCTGTGAGCAAATTTAATATGAAAATGTTTGCCTCAGAAATTTGTTACAAATTTTTCATTACTTTCACTTGACGGACTGTAGCTTACATCCCCGTCACTAATGACGTTCATTAAGGTCATTAACATGTATAGGAAACCAGCAACAACAGACAATTTTAAACACACAAACCCAATTATTGACATTGCAAAGAAATTGTGTAGATTTTTAAACCAAAATCGAACCACACATTAAAAAAACAAATTTAATAAATGAAATTATGCAATTTAATACATTACAACAGAATATTTATCGCATAGGTACCTATAATTAATTATAATTAATGAATGTTTATTATTACCATCACAATCTGTAAGAACGGCATCAAAGGAATCCAACCATTGGGTCACCTTGTCGGCTTTTTGTTCCAATAATTTGTAGACGTCTGCTTAAACATGCTGCTAAGGGGTCGAAATTTGTTTAACATTAATTATTCAGCTAAAACTTTGCTAATTTTCACTCTTATTAAATATTTTCTTTTTTTATTTAATAAAACAATTGCAAGGTAAGTAATTAGTGTTTTAGTTTATTGAATGAATTTGTTTTACAAAATTTTGTGGGGGGCAATAGAATTTGCGATTTTTAGCCAGCTCCACCACACTAACAACAAGAACACAACTTGATAAAAGCACTTGAAAAAAACTACTGAAAGGAAAAATGTCAAAAAATAAAAGGTATATGAGAGCTAAGAATTTTTGCAGAATAAATTTAAGAGCTTATTGCTGTGTACATATTAAAAGAGAGTGTTTAAAAAGGTAAATAAACGAAATTGATCAGTGGCTTTCAAACTTTGCAATGTTTAGAAATAAAAATAGTTATTTTTTAGAATTTTTGAAGAAAATTTAGTTTTAAATCACATTTTTATTAATAAAATAAGCTAAATTGAAGATAACAAACCAAAGAATATATAACAAAGTATTATAAACATAAAATGCTAGTAATTTTTGTAAACAATTACTATATATCGAAACATTCTCAAAATTTTGGCTGCTCAAATGTAAAGTAAGTATAAATTTCACTAATTTATTAAAAAAAAAACTAAACGAGTAAATTGAAACTATATAAATTTAAGTGCAATAGTTAATTTTATAGAATTCCTATAGAAAATTTCTTTATCCAGCAGTCCGCTATGCCATTTCTTTATAAAATATTGTCTTCACCCAGCAGAGACACAATTTCTTTAGTAAATTCTTGTCTACAGCCGGCGGAGACTCGATTTCTTAATTTCTTTAGAAAATATTATCTCCATTCGCCTGGGGAACCTTTTTTTTTAGGGAATTTTTGTCTTCATCTTCCTGAGACACAATTTCTTTGAGAAAATTTTGTGTCCTTTTTGTAAATACGCAACTTCTTTGAGAAACTTTGTCTCTATCTGGAGGTGAATCAATATTTTTAGATAATTTTTGTCATCTAATGGCGGAGAGCCCCTCTGAGACTTACTTTCTTTAGGAAATTTTGTCTTTAGTCCTCATAAAACCCAATTTCTTTACTTACTTTTATATTCGTCTATAAGAAATGTTGTCTTCTTCTGGCGGAGACTCAATTTCTGCAAACATTATTTCCATCTTAACTCAAGATCCAATTTCTTTAAGGAAATTTTGTTTTTATCTGACAGCAATTCAATAAGGCTCTATTTCTTTATATTTGGTCTATATATTTTGGGGTGAATTACCTAATTTCTTTGCAGAATTTGGTCTCCGTTTGTTTTAAATTTCATTTCTATAGAAAATATCTATCTTTAGGAAATTTCATCTCCATTTTGGTTATATTATGGGATCGCAAAATTTAATTTAATAAAATAAACACTGCTTTTGTTTTTTTTTATAAATTTATTTTTATTTTTTTTTACTTAGTTTCTTTTAAATATTTTGTTAAAGTTTTCTTATCATTTATGGTTTTTCATTGTATTATAATATTTTTCATTTGTTTTGTTGGTTTTGTTTTGCGTACAACTTCTTAAATAACTAAATAATATATTTATTTTTCTTTCTTTATAATATATAGATTTTTTTTCATAAAAAAGTGTGTGTGTTAAATTAAATAACTAAATTTTAGAAATTATTACAAATTTTGTTTAATTAAAAAAAAAATCTAAAAAGAATTTAAAGAAAAAATAAACAGCAGGAGAGGTAGTTTTTTTTTCGTAAAAAAGAAACAAACAAAAAGGTAAATCAAATTTGAAAACAGAAGATAAATAACTATTAAGAAAAAGAAAACTTAAATTGGAAGCTCGTTTTTAATTGAATAAGCTTAGTTTATATAAAAAATAAAAAATGGAAACTTAAAAAGAGGGAAAAGGAGGGGGAACAAAACTATTACTAATTTTAACAGAAAAAATAAACAACATATTCTTTAAAAAGAAAATGAGCAGTAATTTTAAAAATCTCTATAATAATTTTTAAAATTCTAATAAAATATTTAAATTTTGATACAATTTTACTCATTTTCTGCTAAAGAAAACTTTAGTTTATCTTTGTTTTAATTCAATATTTTGTTTGTTTGAGCGGACTTATCAGTTGGACTAAGAATTAAGTGGTAAAATAAGCTGGGTAATTAGGAAAACATGAGGAGGTGAGAGTAACACAATTTTAAACTAAAAACAAAAGATAGCAAAAAAAAATCTAATAAAAAATGACTTAAAACTTTTTAGTAAATATATGTATGTGTGTGTTTTTTGTTAAATTTTAACTAAAATAAAGAAGCTTGTTGTGGCATCATCATGCCACCAGGGCCTGACATTGTTGTTACCCCAGGCCCAGACCCCAGTGGATTATTGGCACCCCCCACAGATAGGCCCTGTAAACTACCAGCGCCGCCGCCTACATTACCGCCCATCATACCCCCTGGTCCGCCGCTGCCACCACCGCCGCCGGCCACACCCCCCACAATACCCTGTTGCATGGGCATACCGCCAGGGCCTAACATAGTATTGGTACCCGTAGGACCCAACATGGGTGAGACGCCACCCGATGAGGGCGGTTCGGGACTGTGAGATTTCTTTTTACGTTTCTTTTCCTTTTTGCGTTTTTTCCGCTCTTTTTCGTCTTCATGACGCTTTTGTTTTTTGTGTTTCTTTTCGTACGTTTCCAAGCCGGAAGAATCTGTAAGAGATTGCAAGAAACATTTTAAGAAAAATTAAGAACTTTTTATGATAGTGTGTATGTTACCCATTAAATTTGTTTCTGGTGGCTGTTGTCCATCTTTGTGTTTATGTTTTTTATGTTTATTTTTATGTTTACGTGCGGGTGTTGTATTTAAGGCTCTGTATTGCTCCGGTAACTGGAAGAGAAACAAAGTTTTAAAGCATTAAAAAGGAGTATTTAGGAAATGGATTAACAATTATCAGCGACCCTATAAAAATGTTATAATTGTCTGAATTGTAAGAATGTAGTTGGGACTATTATAGATCCATTGTAGTCTGGCTTATAGTAGGTTTCACTTTCACTTATAGTTTGGATTACAGCTCCTTTATAGTGTGGACCATAGAATCACTATTGACAGGACTATAGACTCACTATAGTCAGGACTAAAGTCTCACTATATTCAGGACAATAGTCTTACTATAGTCAGGACTCACAGTCTGACTGGTTAGTACTATAGTCAGGGTTATCGTCTCACTATAGTAACGATTATAGTCTCCCTAAAATCGGGACTATAGTCGCACTATAGTCGGGACTATATTCTCACTATAGTCGGGACTATAGTTTCACTATAGTCGGGACTATAGTTTCACTATAGTCGGGACTATAGTCTCACTATAGTCGGGACTGTAGTCTCACTATAGTCGGGACTGTAGTCTCACTATAGTCGGGACTATAGTCTCACTATTGTCGGGACTATAGTCTCACTATTGTCTGGACTATAGTCTCACTATTGTCGGGACTATAATCTCACTATAGTCAGGACTATGGTCTCACTATAGTCGAGTCTATAGTCTCACTTGTTATAATTGTCTGAAATGTAAGAATGTAGTGGGTACTATAGATCCATTATAGTCTTGTTTATAGTAGGTTTCACTTTCACTTATAGTTAGGATTATAGCTCCTCTATAGTGTGGACTATAGTCGGGACTAAGTCTCATCATAGTCAGGACTATAGTCTCATTATAGTCGGGACTATAGTCTCACTATAGACTTACTATAGTGAGAACTATAGTCTAACTATATTTGGGACTATAGTCCCACTATAGTATCAATATATTCTGGTCTATAGTCAGGACCTAGTGTACTTGAAATAGTCTGGACTATATTCCTACAATAGCCTGCAAAATAGTCCCATTATAATCCATAATATTGAGTACTGCCAGTCCCCGTTTTCGTAATTTTATAGGATCTTAACATTAATATTTGATATAGATTATTAATAATAGTTACAAAAACAAACTCACCGGTCCGGGATGTAATCTGAAACCAGCTAATTGTACTGCAGATAAAGGCAACAATTCTTTGCCAACTATGGGTGGTTTATCAATAACACTACGTAATGTACTATTTTCCTGGAAAAATAAAAGAAAACGAAAATTTTTAATAAAAATAAATCATTTAAAACTTTTTTATAATGAATTAGGAAAGTAAAACACATATTTTTACAGAAAACTGCCCAAAGCAAACACTTTTTTATAGAAAACTGTCCGAAACAGTTACTTTTATATAAAACAGACACGTTTCTATAGAGAACTATTCATTTCTATGGAAAATTAACCTTCTGTATAGAAAATTAAACAAATCAGATACTTTTCTATAGAAAACTATCTGAAACCGACATTTTTCTACTAAAAATTTACTAGAGAAACAAATTTCTATAGAAAACTTTCAAAGAAAGGCACCTTTCTATAGTAAACTATTAAAAGTAAAAACAATACTATGTTTGTGTTGTTGAGAACAGACTCGTTTCTATATAAAATTGTACAGAGAAGATACTTTTCTATTGAAACACGTTAAAGAAATACTTTTCTTATGGATGTCATCAAAAATATGACTTAAATTTAAAGGAAACACCGCCATTATTTTGTATCTTATTTACTTACATCCCTCACAACAAAAATGTACAGGTTTTTCCAACAAGTCAGTAAAAAAAAACAACAAAATTATAATAAAATTTTGTAGACGTCATACAAAAAAACCTCCACTAAAGGAACACAACTCTTATTTCATACTTTTACCACAAAAATAAAACTTACCAAGTTATTCATTCCATCATAGATTCCTGGTAGATTGGGCAGAAATGAGGCTAGTGATTCTTTGACTTTTTTATCCTTAAATTTGGTCAACGTATGATGCAGACCATATTCAGTCATGAGATCTTTATCACCCGTCAGTTCACCTTTCCCAGGTGGTTCTTTCAGCGAATAGAATGGTCCCGTCTGTATAATGGTGGGTGTTTTACCCAAAGATATTGTGGCCTTCAGCGTACCCGATGAATCTTGTCGCGAGACTACGGGTGAACGGCCACCATGTGGTGAGGATTTTGGTGAATAATTTGATTCCATTTTGCGAAATTGTTCGCCCATCATCATATTGCCATAATTGTTCATCATGTTTGGATTTCGTTATGTCCCTGTAGTGAGTGAGTGCTTTGAAAGTTTAAAAAAAACCCCTGCCTTCAAGAGGGGAGGGGTCTTTTTGCTTTGTAGCTAGTAAACTGTTTTTCTATTTAATGTTTTTTCCTTTTTGTTGAAGGATTTTTTTAGGATAAAGAATTAATTATTTAGCACCTTTAGTTAGCCAGTTAGAGCCAGCTTTTTAAAGAGTGCTTGTGTGTTGTGGCTGATGTTTATATGATGGTTTTCTCCTCTAACCACTGCCTTAGCTTTTGTGGTAGCCTTCACTTGTGTCGTTTTTATTTTATTTTTATGTTCTGTGTATTTTTTTTACGTATCTGCTAGACAAGAAATTTTTTTTCTTTAGCTTTTGCTGCTGGCAATGTATTTTTTTAACTTTCTTTGTTTTTTTTAATTTATTATAATTATTGTTATTTTTTTTACTAGTTTAACATAATATTTATTTTGTTTTAAATTTTTTGTTTAAATTCTTCTATACGAAAAAAAAAATTGCCGTGAAATCTGTGCTCTTTTTCACTTTTTGGCATTATCTGAAATTCAGCAATATTTTTCTTTTGTTTATATATTGGCAGCACTGCTTAAAACTGTCAAATATGTAGGCAGGGTTGTTATTTACGTAGTAAATTGCTAATATTTAATACTATTTAAACAACTAAGTTATCTAAAGCTCTCTTTTTTTGTAGAAATGTGTGAATGTGTTTGTCACTTGTGACAGATTTCATTTTTTTTGCCCATTGCATTTCGTCACAACGGGTTTTTCTATACGAAAATCAAGAATTTCTTGAACGACCGGGCGGTGTGTGTAGTAATATTAATTAATTATAAAAATTAAGTTTTAAAACAAAATTTATTAACTCAAAAAAAAAATGCAGTGCACGCTACGCAACGCTTTAAGTTATGCCATCAAGGTGAGATTTTTTTTTGGAAGTGAAAGGTGTTTAAAGGAAAAAAAAGTGACTTGCGTTAATAAGAAAAAAATTTTCTTTGGTTATGCAATGAGTGATTATGAAGTTATTAAAAAATCCCTTTATTTTAAAAGGGAATTTATACAAAAATTATAAAGTTTAAAAAGAAAACTAAATAAGTTGAAAAACAAATTATTTAAATGTTAAAGTAATAACGAAAATTATGTAAAATTCATAAGGTTTTTGGTTGGAGTAGCAAAATTTTGATTTTTTTTTGTTTTTTTTATCTATCTGATAGATAAATAGAGAAGAGCAAGTTAAGGTGACCAGCTGGCTGTCAAACATGTGTTGCATTTTGCTTGTATTTAATTAAATTTTAAACAATTTTGCTTTATTTAATTGTTATCAGTTTTTTAATGCGTATTTTATGATTTTTTTTTTTGTCTTTTTTTCAAATACGTATTGTTATCACGCGTTTTATGTCTAAATGAATGTGATAACATTGTGTGTAATCATAATTTTTTCTAATTAGCGGGGGGTCAATATTAAAAAGATTAGTTCCATGAAGAAACGTTTTATTTTTTATTAACATACTATAATAAAACAAGTACTCTACAATCATAAGTTTTGATATATAAGTTTGTCAATAATTTTCTGTGAAGAAATCGTTTTAGGAATGTGGAGCAAACTCGAGACTTTAATGTTCCTGGAAATCCAACGTAATCTTTAATTATTTCAAGATGTCGCATATATTCAGTATATATTCGATATTAGAAATGTAATTTCTCTAAGGATCAGAAATTTTTCTAAAGAACTGTCCAATGCAGACACATTTCTATAGGAATCTGTCCAACACAGCCACAAGTCTATAGAAAACTCTCTAAAGTAGACATTTCTAAAGGAAATAAGCTAAAGCATACATACATATCTATAGAAACGTTTCCAAAGCATACACATTTCCATAAAAAAACTGCCAGTAGAGACACATTTCCAAAGAAATCTGTTCAAAACAGAAACTTTTCTATATAAAATTATCCAAAGCATTTACTTTTTATAGAAAATTATCAGAAAACAGACTCTTCTATAGAAAACCATTAAGTTTCTGTAGAAAACTCTTCTATAGGAAACTTAGCAAATCACCCACTTTTGTAATTTTAAGAAAAATTTTGAAATCGAAACATTTTTTATTAATGTATCCTTTTCTTTAACTTTACAGACCCCTTTGCGCTCTAATAGTGCTATTTTGGGTGCCTTGAATGTACGTTTTTATTCCAGCACACACGAAGCCGATTTGGTTGTTATCGGCTCTGGTCCAGGTGGTTATGTGGCTGCCATTAAAGCTGCCCAAATGGGCATGAAGGTAAGAATGTTTCAACTTTTTTCTAAAACAAAATTTTTAATGTTTTTCTTTCCTAGACTGTCAGCGTTGAAAAGAATCCCACCTTGGGTGGCACCTGCCTCAACGTCGGCTGCATTCCCTCCAAAGCTTTACTCAACAACTCTCACTACTATCATATGGCCCATTCGGGTGATTTGGCCAATCGTGGCATTAATGTTGGCAGTGTCAGCTTGGATTTGGAAAAACTCATGGGACAAAAAAGCAATGCAGTCAAAGCTTTGACTGGTGGTATTGCCCAGCTGTTCAAAAAGAACAAGGTAACACAATTGACTGGTTTGGGTAGCATTGTAGGACCCAATGAGGTTAAAGTTGTCAAGGATGATGGTTCTGAGGAAACCATTAATACCAAGAACATTATGATTGCCACTGGCTCTGAAGTCACACCCTTCCCAGGTATTACCATCGATGAGGAAGTGATTGTTTCCTCTACAGGCGCTTTGGCCTTGAAACAGGTACCCGAAAAAATGATTGTTATTGGTGCTGGTGTTATTGGTTTGGAATTGGGTTCCGTTTGGTCTCGTTTGGGTGCCCAAGTTACCGCTGTTGAATTCATGAACACCATCGGTGGTGTAGGTATTGATGGTGAAGTCTCAAAGACTTTCCAAAAGATCTTGACCAAACAAGGTTTCGAATTCAAATTGGGCACTAAAGTCATGGCTGCCGAACGTAGTGGTAACTCTGTCACCGTTCAAGTAGAAAATGCCAAATCTGGTGAAAAGGAAGAACTCACCTGTGATGTACTTTTGGTATCCGTTGGTCGTCGTCCCTACACCGAAGGCTTGGGTTTGGACAATGTTGGCATTGTTAAGGATGATAGAGGTCGCATTCCCGTCAACGATCACTTCCAAACTGTTGTACCCAATATCTATGCCATTGGTGATTGTATTCAAGGTCCCATGTTGGCTCACAAGGCTGAAGATGAGGGCATTATCTGCGTTGAAGGCATGAATGGTGGTCACGTACACATTGACTACAACTGTGTACCCTCTGTTGTTTACACTCATCCCGAAGTTGCGTGGGTAGGCAAGTCCGAAGAAGCTTTGAAGGAAGAAGGTGTTGAATACAAAGTAGGCAAATTCCCCTTCTTGGCTAACTCTCGTGCCAAGACCAACAATGAAACCGATGGTTTCGTTAAAGTATTGGCTGATAAGGCTACAGATCGTGTGCTGGGCACACACATCATTGGTCCCGTAAGTAGAAAATGTTTGCCTTATAGAGAAATCGAATACATTTGTTTCGTTTATTTACAGTCTGCCGGTGAACTTATCAATGAAGCTGTCTTGGCTATGGAATATGGTGCTGCTGCCGAAGATGTTGCCCGTGTCTGCCATGCCCATCCTGTAAGTTTATTAGACTATATAATTGTTAAAAATTAACTTATGTTTACCTTACTTTTTTTTCAGACCTGCGCTGAGGCTTTACGTGAGGCCAACGTAGCTGCCGCCTTTGGCAAACCCATTAACTTTTAATTTCTCTACTCCAACCCTGCCTGATCCTTTAATTTAATACATTTTACTTCTCTTTTCTCACATACTCCCCCCTCAAAAAATGCCTTAAGTTAATACGGAAAACGTACGAAAACTTTTTAAACTTCTGTTTTGTGTAAATTATTTCAAAAACATATGAAACTCATTGTGAAAAAAGAGATAAAAACGATTTAAAAACTTAATTCTTAATAAATATAAATTAAAAACCGCCAAGCGTGAGACCACATGTAAAAGTTTGTTTAAAATTTTGTGAAATTTATTGTAAAGTGAAAAAAATTTGAAGAAATTGGAACTTAAATTTCAAAACTTGAAGGGGAGGTGTTACATTTACTGGTGCAACTTTTAAAGTATACAATAATAAATAAAACATAAATAGAAAAATTAAAAAATATTGAACAGTTGTAAATTTCTATTTTTTAATGTGTTTAAAGTGTTATTTATTAAACTATTGAGAAAAGTGGTTAGACTTGAAAGCAGTTATAGGTCTGCATTAAAATCATCTACCAAATGGTGGTAAAAACAAATAAAAAGAAAAAAAGTCCTGTTGAGTTGTTTACAACTTTATAGAAATCACCACAAGGTTATTTTATATAAAGGAATATTTATTTCGAATAAATCGGATCATTTTTTTTTAATTACACTAAATGGTTTTAAACGTTTCTAAAGGCAACGTTTTTATCTTAAGATGACGTGAATTGCGGTTCTATTAACCATTGAAAAAGAAGTTAAACAGTTCCAAAAATTCTAAAATTTAAAAACTGTAAGTCGAAAAATCGACTTTTCGTAAACAGAAACTTGAAACCCTATTAAGATATGAATTTAATGTTACCTGTACAATCTGGTAACTCGACCACTTACCTACTTTTTTAAACACTGACTTTGTTTTGAGTTTTTCTCTTACACTATTGTTGTTTTTGATTAAATAAATATAGAAAATAGTGTAACTGATCATTTTGTTATTATTAAAATCTTTAAAAAATTATTTTTTTTATTAAATTATGTCAACATTTCTTAATTTAATTAAAATAAATTTCTTCTTTTTTAAAAAAATAACGGTTTTTCTTTTATTTACTTAAAGAAAGCGAAAAATTCACCATCTTGTCGTTTATGTAATCTGGTAACTCTCTTGTTACATTCCCCCCTTTTTAAACACATGTTTTTTGTTTTGATTTTTTTCTTAAGCAATTGTTATTGTATTTTTACAGCAAGTTGAGTAAATTCCCTTCAAAGTGACGCAAGAATATTAGAAAAAGAAAATTTTTTGAGGGAAAATTTGTTAGAATTTTAATAAATATTTTAAATAAATCTTTTTATTTTGTAATTCAAATTTAAAAGGAGAAGATTTAATTTATAAAAATAAACATGCATAGTTTAAATTTATTAAAAAGATGGCCGCTAAAAAGTGTTGGCAAAGTTAATCAACTAATGCAAACAGCCTCCATATCGTTAAGGACTGTGGAAAAGCCTAAAAATAAAGAGGAAGAGGTGAGTTAATAAAAAAATATTCCTTAAAAAAACGGTTTAAGACAAGATTCTTGTTTCTTTGAGAATTCCCTTTACCCGCGCAAAATCTTCTCCGGCATACAACCTACCGGCCAATTGCATTTGGGCAATTACTTGGGTGCCATACAAAAATGGATAGAGTTGCAAAATAATCAAGAGGATGTTACCTATTGCATAGTAGATATGCATTCTATAACCATTGATCAGGTGAAATCAATTTTAGTTCCAGAAATGGGTGTTAATAACAATGTGATTTTGAAATTTCTAGAATCCTGCGGTTTTACGTGAAAATATTTTCGAAATGGCTGCCACTATGTATGCCTGTGGTCTTAATCCAGAAGATGGTAATCTTTTTGTGCAATCCTCCGTAAAGGAACATAGTGAATTATGTTGGATATTAAATTGTTTGACTACCATGGCTCGTTTGGGTCATTTGCCACAGTTTAAGGAGAAATCGCGTAAAGTTAAAGATGTTCCTTTGGGTTTATATGTTTATCCAGTATTGCAGGCCGCTGATATTATGTTATACAAGTAAGTGATTGGAAATTTTTAACTATTTATTGGGAAGTAAAGAGAATTTTTGAGAAATTGAAAGATTTGAAAATAGGAAGAAATATAGAGCTGGACTTAGGACCGTAGTATCTAAAACTAATAGAAATTAATATAAAGAAGTTGGAAACGGTGATATAATCATGTATATTATTAGAATTTCTTTCAACATTTTTAAATTTTACTAGAATTTTTAAGAAATTTTATAGAAAACTCTTGCTAGAACTTTAGAAAGCTGCTGCTATACTTAATTTAGAAAAAAATTAAGTTCGAAAATATTCGAAATTTCAAAATTTTTTTCGAAATTGGTTTAAACTTGGAAAATATTTGTTTTTGAGTCATTTTAAACATTTGCTAGAAGGTAGTGTAAAGAATTTAAAAGAGAACTTAACTTCGAAAATTTTTCGAAATTCCAAAATTTTTTTTGAAAATAGTTTTGAGTTAAAAAATTATCGTTTTAGAAATATTTAATATAATTGCAAGTTGTCCGACTAATGAAAGGAAATTTATTCGAAATTTCTTTTTCGAAACTAATTGTTGTTGGAAAATTATGGTTATCGAAATATTGAATATATTTCAAAACTTCATAAAATCGTAAACTGTCTTCCTAAAAACCTTAATTTTATACTCTTCTTATCCCTAATCTTCTGCTATTTCCCTACCCTCTTTTATCTCCCTTTCCTCAACCCGTTTACTGCTACAGAGCCACCCATGTGCCAGTGGGTGAAGATCAACTGCAGCACATACAATTGACCCAACATTTAACGCGCATATTCAATACCCGCTATGGACAAACTTTCCCCGTTTGCCACGCCATGATTGACAATCAAGAGGCGGCACGTATACGCTCTTTACGCAATCCGGCTAAGAAAATGTCGAAATCTGATCCCGATACTCGAGCCACTATTAGTATACGTGATGAACCTGATGTTATAGTGGAGAAAATTAAAAAAGCTGTTACCGATTTCACTTCCGATGTAACCTATGATCCTGCCAATCGTCCGGGGGTATCAAACTTGGTAGCCATACATTCCTTAGTATCTGGAACACCTATAGAGAAAATTATCGAAGAAGCTAGAACCCTAGATACTGGACGCTATAAATTAAGAGTAGCCGAGGCAGTGGTAGAACATTTGAAACCTATTAAGGCGAAAATAGACAAACGTTTGGCCCGCAAAACAGAATTGATTTATATGTTGGAACAGGGTGCCGAAAAGGCACGTCAACAGGCTCAGGAAACTTTGGAGGATGTTAAGCAAAAAATGGGTTTGGGTATTTACACAAATATACCCCAAAACTTAGACGTTAATACCTTTAGCGACAAGGTGGAGGAAAAGCCGGTGAAAGAAACCAAAGTTGAAACTACAGCAGCCAAATTTGATGAGGAGGGAAAACCCATAGTGCCCAAACAAAAGATACGCTTAGAAAGTAGACGTTCTAATCATACCCAAAGTTTGGCACCAGCCTTTGAAATATCTTTAGGAACGCCATCAAAATTGGACAGTAAAAAGGTTACACAGCCACCAGCAGAACAAGCGACGCAGCAAAAGGAGGAATTGCCAGAGAAATCTATAAACTAAGCTAGCTATTAAAAAAGGAATCTTTAGTTAATTTTATATAAATGTTTGTGTGTTGTTATTTAAAATAGAATGTTTAAAAAAATTTCAAAAAATTGTTGAAAAAAAAAACAAAATTTTTTGGTTGAATAAAAAGAAAATATTGAAATCATTTTTGAAATTTTTAAAATTATTTCTTATTTTTAGTAGAATTTTTGATGAAATTTTCGTTTATTAGTGAAATTTTTGATAAAATCTATACTATAATCCAAAATCATCTATATAATTCATTTTTTTTCAACTGCCTTTATTATTTAAAACATTCTTCATAAACAATTTACACTTAAACATTGCATTTTACAAATTTAGCAAAATTACAGAAACGTTTTTCGCTATCAAAGTAAAGACCCTGGGGACATTTGCTTACAATGGTCTGATCAAAGTTACACATATAGTAGGTGGCACAATCTTTGGGATCTCTTACATAAGTTCCGGGACGTTTGTTTAAACACAAGCTGTTAATTCTTTTCTGTTGAGTGATCGAGGAGGGGGTGATAGAGAAGTTTGGAAACTTACCTAATAATTGTTGGATTATATTTTTATGGGGTTTATTGGCATTGTTTGAGTTTTGACCATTGCTACCACATGGTGTTGTAGTTGGGGGTTTGGTAGGTGGATTGCATGGTGTTGTAGTTGGGGCTTTAGTTGGTGGATTGCATGGTGTTGTGGTTGGGGCTTTAGTTGGTGGATTGCATGGTGTTGTAGTTGGGGCTTTAGTTGGTGGGTTGCATGGTGTTGTAGTTGGGGCTTTAGTTGGTGGGTTGCATGGTGTTGTAGTTGGGGCTTTGGTTGGTGGGTTGCATGGTGTTGTAGTTGGGGCTTTTGTTGGTGGGTTGCACGGTGTAGTAGTAGTTGTTGGTGCTGATGCTGGAGGATTACATGGTGGAGTGGTAGTTGTTGGAGCTGCTGGAGGATTACATGGTGGAGTGGTAGTTGTAGGAGCTGCTGGAGGATTACATGGTGTTGTTGTTGTTGGTGCTTCTGGAGTATTACATGGTGGAGTGGTAGTCGTAGGAGCTGCTGGGGGATTACATGGTGTAGTGGTAGTTGTAGGAGCAGCGGGAGGATTACATGGTGGAGTGGTAGTTGTACGAGCAGCGGGAGGATTACATGGTGGAGTGGTAGTCGTAGGAGCTGCTGGAGGATTACATGGTGTAGTGGTAGTTGTTGGAGCTTCTGGAGGATTACATGGTGTAGTGGTAGTTGTAGGAGCAGCGGGAGGATTACATGGTGGAGTGGTAGTTGTAGGAGCAGCGGGAGGATTACATGGTGGAGTGGTAGTTGTTGGAGCTGCTGGAGGATTACATGGTGGAGTGGTAGTTGTTGGAGCTGCTGGAGGATTACATGGTGTAGTAGTAGTTGTTGGAGCTGCAGGAGGATTACATGGTGGAGTGGTAGTTGTAGGAGCAGCGGGAGGATTACATGGTGTAGTAGTAGTTGTTGGTGAATCTGGAGGATTACATGGTGGAGTTGTAGTTGTAGGGGCAGCTGGAGGATTACATGGTGTAGTGGTAGTTGTAGGAGCTTCTGGTGGATTACATGGTGGAGTGGTAGTTGTAGGGGCAGCGGGAGGATTACATGGTGTAGTAGTAGTTGTTGGTAAATCTGGAGAATTACATGGTGGAGTTGTAGTTGTAGGGGTAGCTGGAGGATTACATGGTGTAGTAGTAGTGGTTGTTGGAGCTTCAGGAGGATTACATGGTGTAGTAGTAGTTGTTGGAGCTGCAGGAGGATTACATGGTGGAGTGGTAGTTGTTGGAGCTGCAGGAGGATTACATGGTGGTGTGGTAGTTGTAGGAGCATCGGGAGGATTACATGGTGTAGTAGTAGTTGTTGGTGAATCTGGAGGATTACATGGTGGAGTGGTAGTTGTAGGAGCATCGGGAGGATTACATGGTGTAGTAGTAGTTGTAGGAGCTTCTGGTGGATTACATGGTGGAGTGGTAGTTGTAGGGGCAGCGGGAGGATTACATGGTGTAGTAGTAGTTGTTGGAGCTGCAGGAGGATTACATGGTGATGTGGTAGTTGTAGGAGCATCGGGAGGATTACATGGTGTAGTAGTAGTTGTTGGAGCTGCAGGAGGATTACATGGTGGAGTGGTAGTTGTTGGAGCTGCAGGAGGATTACATGGTGGTGTAGTAGTTGTAGGAGCATCGGGAGGATTACATGGTGTAGTAGTAGTTGTTGGTGAATCTGGAGGATTACATGTTGGAGTGGTAGTTGTAGGAGCAGCAGGAGGATTACATGGTGTAGTAGTAGTTGTAGGAGCAGGGGGAGGGTTACATGGTGTAGTAGTAGTTGTTGGAGCTGCAGGAGGATTACATGGTGGAGTTGTAGTTTTAGGGGCAGCTGGAGGATTACATGGTGTAGTAGTAGTTGTTGGAGCTGCTGGAGGATTACATGGTGGAGTGGTTGTTGTCGGTACAGCGGGAGGGTTACATGGTGTAGTAGTAGTTGTTGTTGGAGCTTCTGGTGGATTACATGGTGGAGTGGTAGTTGTAGGGGCAGCGGTAGGATTACATGGTGTAGTAGTAGTTGTTGGTGAATCTGGAGGATTACATGGTGGAGTTGTAGTTGTAGGGGCAGCTGGAGGATTACATGGTGTAGTAGTAGTTGTTGGTGCATCTGGAGGATTACATGGTGGAGTAGTAGTTGTAGGAGCTGCGGGAGGATTACATGGTGTAGTAGTAGTTGTTGGAGCTGCAGGAGGATTACAAGGTGTAGTCGTAGTAGTTTCGCCACAATTCTTAGAACTATTTTCTCTAGAACCTCTAACACCACGACCATTACACTGAACAAATTGCGGGAAATTACACATTTTCATTTTCTCATCATAATAAAAACCACCCAAACAACGTTTACGAAAGGTACGACCCAAATAACACTGATAGTAATGAGCACAAGATTTCGGATCTGTTATAATAGCACCGTTCGGTTGAGAGCTACAATCTGGTCTAGCGCGACCAACGGCTGCATAAATTGAGGGTATAAGTACCACAGCAAATAAAAAAAGATTTACTGAAAGTTAAAAGCAAAGCAATTAGTGAAATGTTTGTTTGAATTCCTTTTCTGACGACAATATTTACAGTTTCTCATGTTTTCTTCTAGAGAATGCCAGGAAAAACTTCAACTTTTCTAGGTTTGATAGTTAACAAATCAAATCTGTTCATTTGTGGGCAGTGATAGCATCTTTTATAGTGAACTTTTCTTTTGGAAAATTATTAATTAGATAAAAATAATTAATTTAATGGGGTTTTGTAATAGTTCTTTAATTTTTTTTTTATATAGTTTATAGAAAATAGGTTCCATAGGAAATAACTAACTATAAAATAAATAACATTGTTTTAAAATATCTTATCAAAATTGCTGTAATGTCGGTTAACTACCAGTAGCATGCCGTTACAGACAAGGACTTGTAAAACATAATAATTTAATAATTTGTCTTTTGATTGATTAGATAAGGGCTAGTTAGAGGAAAAAGTTGTTGCTAAATGCTAGCGAATTGCTTTTTAATAAAACTCTTTATTAAGTTATGAAGTTTTGCGCTTAATTTACGTGTTTTCTAATTTTTATCTTGATATTCCAAATTTAAATCCTTAACACATGTAGCCTTATGGCGCCACTTACAGCGGGCGCTCTCCACATCAAAATGCTGATAAAAAGGACAACTCTGCAATAGAGACTGACCTTTGACACAAAATATAAATGAATCGCATCTCTGGGTATGGGGAAATATATGCTCGCCATATAAAGGACACTTAACGCTATTGCCCCATATAGGTTCCTCTAAAGAAGTTAAAACCTCATCCTCCTCGTCATAATCTTCTTCATTTTTGGTTATAACACATTCAGCATTAGACGGTAAATCACATTTACCCAATTTAGAATTCCAATTAAGTCTAGGACTACAGGATTGTAGTAAAGCTTTACCATGATAACACATATAATACTGTTGGCAATTGCCTGGATGAGGCAGGAATACTAAGGTATATTTCTTACTCTGCATAGCATACAAATTATAACAATATTGATCAGCTTTTGGAGGTCTCACGGTGGTGGTGGTGGTGGTGATCATGCTAGGGGCTTTGGTGGTGAAGGTAGCAATAGGTAACGCCTCCTCCTCAGCTAAAGCTACTTCCTCACATTCCACATTTTCCGCATTATCACATAGTTTAGTTTGATCATTAAACAGCATATTTGGTGGACAAGAGGCCACTACACCTTCACCATTTTTACCGCATAAAAAGAAAAGTTTGCAGTCATTGGGATTGGCCACAAATTCTCCCCATTCATGGCCCAAGCAAAAGTCTGTCAAACGAGGTTTAGCCACATATTTAAAGGCGCTTAGAAAAGGCACAGCCAGCAATAAGATTATAAGTCCTAAACAAAAATTAAACAATAATAAAACAAGTTCTTTAACAATCTTTTACTTAAACTCACTTTTGAACATGGTTTCAGAACTCCTTATCACTTCTTATATGCTCTTTTATCTCTGATGCCGCCTGCTTACTTCCACTTTTGAAAATATTCTTAACTTATTTCAATTATTTTACCAAAAAGAATTGCTTCCAAAAAATTAGAATAACGATCACTTGTTTGTTCCTTATCTTTAACTGTTTGAAATTCTTGTAAAGATCTTTATTTTTATGTTCAATATTTTGGTGAATAAAACGAAAGTATGTGTTTTTTTTTCTTCTTCTGTTAGACAATTTTATCAATATTTGCAGTTCATTAGCTAGATAAACTTTTTGACGAAAGTTGTTACAAAAAAATGTTATTTTTAAATAAATAACAATTATTTGTAATAACTTTGCAAAGTAAACTAACAGAAGAAATGCTAAATATTTAAAATTTCTTAATAAAGATTTAACAATATATCAATTTTACACAGAGAAAATATCATTAATAAATATAAAAACTCGAATGTGGTGAATTTGTATTTTGTACTGAAATCCTTTTACTTTAATTTAGAGGTAAAGAACTGGTTTTGTTTTGAAAGCTTTTGTGGTAAAATTAAAATTTTGGGGTGAAATGCTGATTTAGTGGTGAAAATATGACTTAGTGGTGAAAATTTGATTTAGTGGTAAAAATTTGAATTAGAGGTGAAAATCTAATAAGATCTTGTGGTGAAAATCCGATGTGAAAATTTGATTGTATTGAAAATTACAAGACTAGACTATAGACTAGACTATAGACTAGACTATAGACTAGACTATAGACTAGACTATAGACTAGACTATAGACTAGACTATAGACTAGACTATAGACTAGACTATATAGACTAGACTATAGACTAGACTATAGACTAGACTATAGACTAGACTATAGACTAGACTATAGACTAGACTATAGACTAGACTATAGACTAGACTATAGACTAGACTATAGACTAGACTATAGACTAGACTATAGACTAGACTATAGACTAGACTATAGACTAGACTATGACTAGACTATTGACTAGACTATAGACTAGACTATAGACTAGACTATAGACTAGACTAAGACTAGACTATAGACTAGACTATAGACTAGACTATAGACTAGACTATAGACTAGACTATAGACTAGACTATAGACTAGACTATAGACTAGACTATAGACTAGACTGTAGACTAGACTATAGACTAGACTATAGACTAGACTATAGACTAGACTATAACTAGACTATAGACTAGACTATAGACTATACTATAGACTAGACTATAGACTAGACTATAGACTAGACTATAGACTAGACTATAGACTAGACTATAACTAGAATATAGACTAGACTATAGACTAGACTATAGACTAGACTATAGACTAGACTAGACTAGACTATAGACTAGACTAGACTAGACTATAGACTAGACTATAGACTAGACTATAACTAGACTATAGACTAGACTATAGACTAGACTATAGACTAGACTATAGACTAGACTATAGACTAGACTATAGACTAGACTAGACTAGACTATAGACTAGACTACAGACTAGACTATAGACTAGACTATAGACTAGACTATAGACTAGACTATAGACTAGACTATAGACTAGACTATAGACTAGACTATAGACTAGACTATAGACTAGACTATAGACTAGACTATAGACTAGACTATAGACTAGACTATAGACTAGACTATAGACTAGACTATAGACTAGACTACAGACTAGACTATAGACTAGACTATAGACTAGACTATAGACTAGACTATAGACTAGACTATAGACTAGACTATAGACTAGACTATAGACTAGACTATAGACTAGACTATAGACTAGACTATAGACTAGACTATAGACTAGACTATAGACTAGACTATAGACTAGACTATAGACTAGACTATAGACTAGACTATAGACTAGACTATAGACTAGACTATAGACTAGACTATAGACTAGACTATAGACTAGACTATAGACTAGACTATAGACTAGACTATAGACTAGACTAATAGACTAGACTATAGACTAGACTATAGACTAGACTATAGACTAGACTATAGACTAGACTATAGACTAGACTATAGACTAGACTATAGACTAGACTAGGCGACTATAGACTAGACTAACTAGACTAGACTATAGACTAGACTATAGACTAGACTATAGACTAGACTATAGACTAGACTATAGACTAGACTATAGACTAGACTAGACTAGATAGACTAGACTATAGACTAGACTATAGAACTAGACTATAGACTAGACTATAGACTAGACTATAGACTAGACTATAGACTAGACTATAGACTAGACTATAGACTAGACTATAGACTAGACTATAGACTAGAATAGACTAGACTATAGACTAGACTATAGACTAGACTATAGACTAGACTATGACTAGACTATAGACTAGACTATAGACTAGACTATAGACTAGACTATAGACTAGACTATAGACTAGACTATAGACTAGACTATAGACTAGACTATAGACTAGACTATAGACTAGACTATAGACTAGACTATAGACTAGACTATAGACTAGACTATAGACTAGACTATAGACTAGACTATAGACTAGACTATAGACTAGACTATAGACTAGACTATAGACTAGACTATAGACTAGACTATAGACTAGACTATAGACTAGACTATAGACTAGACTATAGACTAGACTATAGACTAGACTATAGACTAGACTATAGACTAGAATGAATAGACTATAGACTAGACTATAGACTAGACTATAGACTAGACTATAGACTAGACTATAGACTAGACTATAGACTAGACTATAGACTAGACTATAGACTAGACTATAGACTAGACTATAGACTAGACTATAGACTAGACTATAGACTAGACTATAGACTAGACTATAGACTAGACTATAGACTAGACTATATAGACTAGACCTATAGACTAGACTATAGACTAGACTATAGACTAGACTATAGACTAGACTATAGACTAGACTATAGACTAGACTATAGACTAGACTATAGACTAGACTATAGACTAGACTATAGACTAGACTATAGACTAGACTATAGACTAGACTATAGACTAGACTATAGACTAGACTATAGACTAGACTATAGACTAGACTATAGACTAGACTATAGACTAGACTATAGATTTCACTATTAAAGTATAGACCTATCTATTGTCAAACATTGGAACACTGTATATTCCTTCTTTAATTTGTAAAGTTTGGCAACCCTACTCTTACTAAGCAAACATTAAATTAGTTTGCCTTTAGTAAAGAGATCCCCATTCATAAGAGAATAGATAAAATCTCTTACTAAAATGAATTGCACTTTTCCACACACTTACATACATACATACATACATACATAAATTTTAGTAGTCCACTAATAACAAGCATTCTGTTGTTGTTGCATTTTATCCAATTGCCAGCAAACAAACAGACACGGGGTTTTTTTACTTTATTTAAGAGTGTCGGCATTTAGTTTGCGTTGTTAATTCAAAGCGATAGCATTTCGTTGAAGTGACGGTCGGTGTTGTTAGTGAAAAAGAAAAAAAACAACAAAACAATCAAGAAGTGTTAACGATTTTGTTTTTTGGCCAGTAATCAGTGTATTAGAGAGTGATTTTTATTTTCGGAGATTTTTTTACGGTTTTTTCGTAGACGTCGGGGTAAAACGAAAGAAAACGGGTTAAATAACAAAAAAAAATAAAAATTAAATAAGCAATAAACTTTTACACAAAAGTTTAAGCCAATAACAACAACAACAAAAGTGTTACCAACGTTACATTAACATAAGCAGCAAAAAAAAAAAACGAATGAAAAGTTAAAACAAACTAACGAAAAAAAGCAGAGATTTAAAGAAAACTTAAATTAAACTAAATTTTATTAAACAATAATAAAGAAATTTAAGAAAAATTATTAAATAAATTAAAATTTTGAAAAAAAGTTAAGAAAATCTTTTGCTTTATTAAAAAAAAACAACAAAATTTTGTTTTATTTTTAAAAAGTGCGTGTGTGTGTTTGCCCATGTTAGTGACTACCTGTTCCCTCCATTAAATAACAAAAGCATTATTATTGTAAATACCCAATAAACCAAAGAACGATATGATAGCGAAAACGGTATTGCTTTTAAAGGGCGATTATGATATCATATTTCATTATTTAAAACGATATTATTATAATATCGTTTTATATTATTTTGTTTCCAATAAAAAAATTAAGAAAATACAAACATTTGAAAAAAACTTCAAACATAAAAATAATTTCAATAAAAATTTTCGAACATAAGAAAACTAAAAGGATATTAAAATAAAATCAACTAAATTATTGATAAATAATCCAAATAAATACGCGAATTTCGTTCGATACTTCAGTTTAGTGGTAAGTTGACATGTATGCAATTTTGAAAAGTTTCAGGTATTTGCAAGACAATGCATAATGTGATGAAAAATATGATTACTTTAAAATATGTATTAATGTATGTATGTAAATATGTACAAATGAATGCAATCCTTCCCTTTTCAGGCTTTTTTATATGTATAATAGCGAAATATTAAGTTAAATAGCGTTTTAAATGAAATTTTAAGAATAAAAGAGCATACAGAAAAAAAACTGAAAAAGGCGATTTAACTATCATTATTTTTGGAAATTATGGTAGCGAAAACGATATCATAATTTTATGGAAAAACGATATCATAAGGAAAGGTACCATTTAGTACGTAAATACTATCGTTCTCGATACGAGAATGACTATCACTTATGATATTTTTTATCACCTAAGTGATATCGTTTCGATATCGTTATAATATCGTTTGGTTTATTGGGTAACAACAAGAAAAAAAAAACACAAGCAACAACAACAAACAACATAAATTATATATAATTTCTGTTTTTGATTCTGTTTTATTATTTGTATTTATACTTGTCATTTCGTTGTGCAAGCCGAAACTAACAAACAAAACAAAATTAAAAAGCAACAATAATAACTACAACAACAACAACCAAAGGCAACAAAATCCATCAAAAAGTAATAAAACAACAAGTTTTTTCTGCTTCTTTCTACTACTTCTCCCAAAAAAAAAAAAACAACAACAAGATAATAGTGACGCTCTAATACAGAGTGATTGTACTCTCAAACTAATACTTCATAAATTGTTTTTGTAATTTTCATTATTTACGTGTGTGTGTCAGTCATTCTGTCTGTTTCAGAGTTTGTTTAGCTGCTAATAATAATAATGATCATTTTCTCATTTTCAACATCATCATTATAAAAAAAAATTAGATTATAATAAAAATATAACAAAAAAATTCTTGTTAATCATCAAATAACTTGCACTTGCACCTGTTTTAATAAGAAAAATTTAAAAAAAAAGATAAAGAATTTAAAAGAAAAACAAATAGTGAGAAAAATATAATAAAGATAAAATACCAAAATTTATTTTTCAACATTAAAAGTACCAGAATTTGGGATTTATTCTCTTAAGCAGATGAAAAAAGAAAACAAACTCCTCATCACAGCATTGTTTGATAATTAGTGTTGCCAACTTTTAAAGCAGCTCAGACAATTGGAAAGATCATAAAAGGTAAGAAAAGAAAAGAGTTTTAATATGTTTTAATAAAAATTTAAGTAATTTCATAGTTTAAGAATAAAACTGGGGAACCTATTAAGACTTTTGCTGTAAAAATCTATTAAATTTATTAAGAAATCTGGAACATCTTCTCTAAAAGTTTTCAATCAAACCAGCCATTATCACGCATTAAGAAGTTCCGGAGGTTGTCCCCTCTAGCCACCATAACAACTGAACCGTTGATCGAAAAGGACCAAAGAATGTCTCCTTCTTACAGCGAATCGCTGCAATCTAATTCCAAGCTGATACCGCACAATATTCGTCCAGACCTTAGGCAAATACCACAGATAGTTTCTGTCTAGATTATGCTCATAAGAGTCTCTAATATACCGAATAATTGATCGGAGAGAGAGAATTAACATCTTCTTCTCATTATGACATTTTACAGGGGATCAACGCAATTAGATTTTAAGCTAAAACCGCGGAATATTTGTATAGACCAGCAGATTTAAGAAAACTGAGAACAGTTTCTACTGTTGATCACTAAAAGTTCTTCGAATTAAGACATTTCTTCTCATGCCGTCCATCGCTGGTAAATAGAGCCACTAGGACCAAGAGTGTCGGAAAACATCTTGTCCTCCTTTATGAAAGCGTACAGGGCATCAACGGCAAGTTTTCAGCTTGCCGGAGAATTTACGATGTGTTTACCAGGACCTAAGACAACTTAATTTCCCTATTTGCCAAAGTATTTGCAATGTTATTGCTAGATTAAGCCGGATAATTCTAGTTTTGGTCTAATTTATTCTTAAAATCTTTGTTCAATCTTTAGTTATTCTGGTCTTCATCTATGATTCAGATCTAATTATACGATCAGACAAAGTTCCAAAAGTGATGTTATAACAGATCTCATCTTACGTTCGTTGACTTAAGTTCTGTGGTTGATTAATCCTTAATCTCTAACTTAGAAACTTCATCGCGGTACACTCTTCAAACTTAACTTTTTAGGGACTTTATCGCTAGAATTTCGAGTGTGTTTCAAAACCTCATGTCTGTTCTCCTATAGCTCATGGTTTTGGTCTATTTAATACTTAAAAGTAAATCTATAATCGGCAAGTTTGTAAAGTATCTGAGATCATTGCCTTTACAAATAGGAACTCTTTTCAATCTTGAGTTATTCTGGTCTTTATCTTAGATTCAGATCTATTTATACGATCAGTCAAAGTACCAAATATGATGTTATAACAGATCTGATCTTACGTTCGTTGTCTTAAGTAATGCTTTCGAATTACTGGCCATCATTCAATGACTTGAGATCGAGTTTCAAAAATAAAGATTGGAGTTTATTAGTAGTATTTAATTTACCACGCGTTTTATGCTCACAAAAACTTTGTTTTGTCAAAAATTACTTTAAACTTTTCCCTAACCGTGACTAATCACCTCTATCGTTTCACATGTGAAACTTAACACCCTTGTTTACCTGCAAAAACATGCCACTTAATTACATTCCTTCAATATAAGATAATATACTGCGTATTTTTTCCGCCCAAAAAATATACACTTGATAATAAAACAACTTTTAATTAAAAATCTTCAGTTGATCTTAAAACATCAATGTCTTAAGAACAAAATCGTTGAAAAAAAAATGTTTCGTATAGTTTTATACTCGTTGCTTTCAATTCAATTCTTGAGTTGCTTAATTCAGGCAGCCGTTTTTCCTGAATGTGAGAGTGAAACTGCGGGGAATTTTATAGCTGTTGCTAGTAATTGTTCCAAGGCTATATATTGTGATGGTGAGGATTCAAGTATAGTGGAGTGTGATTTCAGTAGACCTTACTTTTCAAGCACTGATCAAAATTGCTACACTGAGTCGAGCATATGTGGTGATAGGCCATTTGGAGGGGGAAATGATGATACTCCGACTACTCCAGCGATGCCTTCAATTGCCACAACCGGAGCTTCTACGTTAACTTCCATTTTAACACCACCCACAATAGTTACCGTAACCTCTACTCCCTCTACAACATCGTCCCCAACATCTACTCTAGCTACCACAGTTGTAACAACACCAACTACAATTGTTATCCCTACCACCTGGCCTCCTATAGTTACCACTTCCAGCACTAGAATCACCTCAACAGCTACCGATCCTTCTATCTCCTTAACTTGTCCGCCTGTAGATGATCCCAGTAGACCGATATTTCTACCTCATCCCAAATCTTGTTCACAATATTATTTGTGTTATCATGGTGTAGCCACGATCATGCAATGTCCCAATATGTTACATTTCGATGTGACCCAACAGAGTTGTAATACAGCGGAAAAAGTTAATTGTCAGGTAAAATCCAGTGAAATAAAGATCCATATTCTTAATCTAACATTCTCTTGCATTTAAGATAAGCGCCGTTATACCACGCGATCAGTGTTTGCCTCAAACTGTCGATGTTATCCTCATGCTACCAATTGCAATTATTATTATTTGTGTAAATATGGCTATTTGATGGTTATGCAGTGTCCCTTTAATATGGGCTGGGATTATGAGAAGAGAGCCTGTGCCGTGAAGTCGAAAGCTAAATGTTATAATGAGGCTTTAGTAATTTAAATTTTAAAATCATTTTTCTTTGGTTGATAATAAATATTAAGCCATTGTATGTTTTGTGGACTTTAGTGAGACCTTTGACGATTTTAATTGAACAGAATCGGACATGGATTGTTGATGTTTTCTTTGTATTCGATCCTATCGTTCTTAATCTTCTCCACATTAAGGCAAAGCAGGGTTAGGTCCTTATAGAGTCAAGACATTTAAATTTAGATTCTCAGTGTTATCGTAGATACTTTAGCATGAGGTAGTCTTAGTAGTCTAAGGTTCTTAAGAAACTAATTGTAAGACCGAATCTAACTATGGCGATCTAGACTAATATTCCGCGTCCAAACTTGAAAGTTGATTGAGGAGATGCGCTGTAAGCTGTCATAATAAGAAGAAGGTATTAGTTCACCCTTTTTGTCATTCGTTTGTCCTAGTTGATAAATGATTCAAGATCTTTTGAGACGACCGTTTAGAGTTTTAAATGGAAAACCCTTAGTAATCAATGACAAATTTTGAAGCTGATAGAAGGCAACTGAGAAGATTGATATTCTTCTTCCTCTTCATACCAATTGAGGTTCTAAATGTTGTATCTCTCCTCCTAGTTTTCAATTAGAAATAGATTTACTTCTCCCAGGAAAATCTGCTAAAGTCCTAATCTAACCTCTCTAACAAACAATGTTAGGTTTCCGAAATTTAATTCAGTCTTTAAATGACTCAATTTAGGAACTGCGTGGCAAGAAGGTATGGTTTTCTTTAAGCCAGTTGGTTGGTATTCCAAAATCGAGAGATTTATGTATCACAAAAAAGCCTCTCAAAAGAGACTAAATGGTTTTCTGTAATCATCGGTCCGTTTTTACTTAATCGTATATAACGATTGGATGTTTTGAAATAAGTAATAAAAAGTTTTTTTTCTTTAACTTCACATTTATTTCTTACAAAAACTAAAATGTATTCTTACGAAATACTAACTTCAAATCCTTAATACAAAGAGCCACCTTACGCCATTTGCAACGACTGCTCTCCACATCGAAGTACTGATAAAAGGGACATTGCTGTAAAATAGCATGACCCTTAACGCAATATATAAAGAAATCACAACGTTGCATATGTGGAAATATATGTTGACCATACACAGGACATACAATGCCATTAGCATTGCCTATAGAAGGGGATTCTGTAGGTGCCACGGGTACAGGCATATTACCATCTTCTTTATGACACTTAGCATTGCTAGGTAAATCACATTTGCCAATACGGGAATTCCATTGTAAATCGGTGCTGCATTCCTGCAACAAAGCCTGGCCATAGTAACACATATAATATTGATGACAACTGGAGGGATGAGCCACAAAAATCAAAGCATCTGCACTTGGCTGTTGGGTATAAAGATTTAAACAATAATCCACTACAGATGCTATAGGTGATACAGTGGTAGTGACTTGAGTTGTTGCAGGAGGAGGAGCCAAGGTGGTGGTTGCTTCACATCTAACATTGCTTTGGGTATCGCAAATTTTACTGACCGGATTGAAAAGCATATTCGGGGGACAACTGGCTGGCACCGCTTCACCGTTTAAACCGCATAAATAAAACTTTTTGCAATCCAAAGGATTTGCTACAAACTCTCCCATGGCATGATTTAAACAAACATTATTTTGACCCTCACTCGCTGTTATGGCTAATAATAGTATTAGCAAAGCTAGAAAATAAAGCGTAAACAAATTATTTAATTAATTATTGAAACTACTAATTCCATAACATTTACCTTTACTAAAGTATTCTTTTAAAACATCCATTTACTAAAAATTTTTCAAAAATTGCTTCCTAAATGTTTCACTACGTCTCAACTACTGCTCATTAGCATTTAATTTTCCATTTAAAAAGCTTGTTTATGCTATCATCAGCGCCTACCAATTTTCGTTTGTTTTATCTTAAAAAAAAAACAAAATTTTAAGATAAAACTCTTATTTGTCTTATTGCTTTTTTACATAATTATCTTCATATATTCGTACGTTCATTAACACGATCAACTGTATTAAAATATCTTAATTACTTTTTGTTTTGCAAATTATTGTTTATAAGATTCTGCTAGGAATTTCTATAACCATGACCTCATTTTGATAATTTGAATGGGAAATAGCGGGAATTAATGAACCTAAGACTATAGTACAGTCTGATGTAGTCTCTACAGATTAATCAGTCTTTAGTAGAGAGACTAGATGAGTTCTGGTGTTGAGACAAGATCGCTCTCTAATATAGAGACTTGATCAGAGTATAATAGAGACTAGATTTCTCTCTAGTACAGAGACTAGATCATTCTATAGTATAGAGACTAAATCAATCCATAGTATAGAGAAGGGATCAGTCTGTAGTATAGAGACTACATCAGTCTCTAGTAAGGAGGCTAGACCAGTATCTAGTATAGATACCAGATCTCTGGTATAGAGACTAGATCTAGTAGTAGATAAACTACATCATTTTCTCTACTATCGTCTCTGCAATAGATACTAGATCAGTCTAGTCTCTGGTTCAGAGTCTGGTCTAGCCTCTAGTACAGGGGCTGGTTAAGTCTCTAGTTTGGAGTTTATTTAGTGTGTAGAAAATAATCTGAACTAATAACTAGTTAAGAGTACAATCTCTAGTACAGAGTATAGTCCATTCTATGCAATATAGACTAGTCTAATTTCCAATACGAACTTCCTCACATTAAGAATCATTCTAAATAAAATCACTCTTGTTTTGTTTGACAAATTATATAAAATATACTTTATTTTATCTAAAATCTATTAGAAGATCTATAACATTTAGCCTGAGATCTAAGGACACAAGTTCTCTTCTCATAATGCCAACCCATATTCAGAGGACATTGCATTACTTTCAGATAACCCAATAAACATTGGTAATAATAATTACAGTTGACCGGATGAGGATAATAATCGATGGTATGTGATAAACACTGTTCTCTAGGGGTCACAACATCCATCATCTAAATTAAAAATGATCATTAAAAAAACTTTTAAAAAATTCAAGATTGCAACTTACTTGACATTTAACCTTTTCCGGATAATCACATTTCTGTTGGCGGGCATCGAAATGCAACATATTGGAACAATGCATGGGCAAACGTTCACCATGATAGCATAAAAAGTATTCTGTGCAGGATTTGGGATGTGGTAGAAATATGGCTTTATTGGGATTGTCAACAGCTGGGCAGGAGGAAGGCAATATAGGAGTTATATAGGTGGAAGTGGTTATGATTTGAGGTGCTGTAGTAGCTAAGGATGTAGTAGAGGTTGGAACAATAACTGAGGTTGATGATGTAGTAGTAGTAGTTGAACTAGCAGTAGTTGTTGAAGCTTCAACTGAAACACTTGAGGTTGGTTGCGTTGGAGCATCTGTAGTATCCTCTGTTAACTCACCACCTTCTCCCGACTCGAATTCCCCATTAGGAAATGGTCTATCGCCACAAACATTTCTATCCGTATCACATGTTTGTTCCTCAATCGAAAAGTAAGGACTGTCTTCGGGACATGAATCTCGAAAAGAATCTTCTCCATGACAAAACATATAATACGAACAATCCTCTTGTACAGCTATATAAGATTGTTCTTCTCCTTCGCATTCCTCAAAATAATCACCATTAACTGTAGTCCATAAACCAGCTATAAGTAATATTAAACCGTAATATTTGTGTGACATTCTGAAAGCTAAAAAGAAGTTCTGCAATTGTTAAAAGTTCCTAACTAACTGAAAATTTGAAAGACGTCAACAGAATCTTATTAAATACCTTATATGTTTCTTTGTTCTTCTGCTTCTTCTTTTTTCTTATTTATTCTTATCAGAGAGGAAATATTAATTTATTCATACAAGATCTATGGTGTAGTTCTTCTTTTAGGGTAATTTACCTATTTGACTTGTTATCTTCTTTTTTTTTCTGGGTGTTTTATACAAAAGTTAAATTTTATTGGTACATTTTTCTTTTTTTTTTCGATTGTTAATTATCGATATTTCAGTCAATGGGATCATCATATCAAGAACCTTAAACAAATGAATCATAATTTGACCCTGAAATTCAAAATTTATATGCATTTCATGATAATATGCAGGAAATAGAGGTGTGTTATAGTAAAAGTTTGTTTTTGCCTAATGATCGACTAGATTAGACACTACACACCTCTATATAAAAGACTCTAGATCAGACTCTAGAATATAAACTAGATCAGTCTCTACTACTGAGATTGATCTCAGCCTCTACTATAGAGACTAGATCAGTCTCTAATATAGAGACTTGATCAGTCTCTACTATAGAGACTAGATCAGTCTCTACTATAGAGACTAGATCAGTCTCCACTATAGAGACTAGATCAGTCTCCACTATAGAGACTAGATCAGTCTCTACTTTAGAGACTAGATCAGTTTCTACTATAGAGACTATATCAGTCTATACTATAGAGACCAGATCAGCCTCTACTATAGAGACCAGATCAGTCTCTACTACATATAGAGACTAGATCAGTCTCTACTATAGAGACCAGATCAGTCTCTACTATAGAGACCAGATCAGTCTCTACTATAGAGACTAGATCAGTCTCTACTATAGAGACTAGTTCAGTCTCTACTATATAGACTAGATCAGTCTCTAAGAAAGAGACTATATTAGTCTCTAGGACAGAGACTAGACTAGTCTCAAGTATAGAGACCAGATCAGTCTCTACTATAGAGACTAGATCAATCTCTACTATAGAGACTAGATCAGTCTCTACTATAGAGACTAGATCAGTATCTACTTTAGAGCCTTTACTTTAGAGACTAGATTAGATTTTATGACAGAGACTAGATTTGTCTCTAGGAGAGAGACTAGGTTAGTCTCTAGGACAGAATATCTAGTATATAGATTAGACCCCAGTATAGAAACAAGATCTGTTTCTAGTATCTAGTGAAAGTAATATTTCAGTCTTTAGTATAGTCTTTAGCAAAGACTTGATCAGTCTTTAGTGTAGAGACTAGATCAGTATAGATACTATAGATTACTTTAAACTCTAGTATAGAAACTATTTCTGTGTCCAGTATAGAGGCCGCATAAAAATATAGAAGACTATGTATTGTTGTGTCTAATATATTAGTCTATTTTACTCTCTAGTATAGAGACTTTACTAGTCTCTAGTATGGAGACTTCTATAGTATACAATGTAGCCTAGAGACTACTTTAGTATAGAGTCTTCTCTAGTCCCTATTATGAAGAATTATCTAGTCTTTAGAATGGAAACTTGTCTATTATAGAGATTTCTCTAGTCTCTAGTATGGCGATTACTCTAGAGACTAAAGTAATCGTTCTAGTTTCTAGTATGGAGACTTCTGTAGTCTCTTGTATGGAGACATCTCTGGTGTCTGGTATGTAGAATTCTCTAGTCTCTAGTATGTAGACTTCTCTAATCTCGAGTATGGAGACTTCTCTAGTTTCTAATATGGAAACTTCTCTAGTCTCTAGAATTCTCTAGTCTCTAGTATAGACACTTCTCTAGTGTCTAGTGTATAGACCTCTCCCTCTTTCGAATATAGAGACTACTCTAATCTTGTGTGTGTAGATTACTCTAAACTCTAGTAAACACTATTACAACTCTGACCTTTTCTTCACTTTTAAATCACCAAATAAATATTAATGTTACAATTTACCTTGACTTAAATTTTCAGTTAATTATTACAACACACACACATACAATTATTATTGAAAAAGATTGTCTTTTTGCACACATTTGCACAAAAGTTTTAGGTACCAAAGACAAACCAAATAATTGTCACAGAACATGACAAATGGCCAACATAAAAACTAGTGCGAAATGAACACACCACATGTAAGACAAGCTAGCAAACACAAGGGGAAAAATTATGTTTGAAAAAGATTAAGCACGTTTGACATTTATCAAATGTTTGTGGTAATTTTTCTCTCTTCAAAGGGAATTTGTAATAAGATCTTTAGTGTGGCTAAGATGCATACTAAAAAGGGAATTTCATAAAATCTATTTTAAAATATTTCTGATAATTTGTAATAAATCAGGAAATGTTTTTATACATTTCCTATACAAGAGATCGAATTTCTTAATGCCTATAAGGGTTTTATTAATACAAATCTAATAAACACACGTTTTTTTATAAAATTTTTCTTTTACCATTAGCTTTACGTGTTTTTTTTATAGAAATAAACAATTGTGGTCACATGTTGTATTTAATTTAAATACAGTATTATAAACTATTGTTAAAATTTCTACACATATTTCTATTAACAGCTGATGTTTCATTGAAATGATTAATTGTTTTCACTATTCATTAAGTGTCATTAATAAATCTCCAGCATTTAATTTAATCTCAAGACAATTGTCATGACTTTCAACACAATTGTTTAAATATTTTTATATTTTTACTTATAATTTTAAACAATTTGATTTTATTGACCTTCTTTAAAATTGACTTCCTTTTTTTTTATAACAGAAGTTTGTTTTTAATGAAAGTTAGTTTTTTTTTTTTTTTGGTTAACATCTTTGGTTGCAGTTCCTCTGCCTTAGACCAACCAACATTATTTTCAATAAAACCCACCAAGCCACAAAAGATATTTTAATGTCTGCTGTGTATTACCAACTTTTAGTGTTTGCAATTTTTTCTACTTTGCGCTTTTTTTTCGTTAAGACTGTGGTGGTTTTCAAATGGCATGGTTGACGATATCTCCAAGTGGTACTGTAAGTCAGCCAGTCAGTCATAGTGCTGGCGTATAACAAATAAAATTATATTGTTATTGCCAACCATTTAGTTTTGCAAAACTAATCTAAAGTATTTTTTGTTAGTTTTTCTTACTTTTATGACTTT